CTAATAATAATTTAAACCCTACTAAAATCCACTAATCACAGCTCCTAGATGCGAGCAATGTTTATTCGATAGAAAGCATTAACCTCACTTCTGATAAATGTGTAAATATTAAAATGAGAAAACATAATGGTAACTGCAGAAAAATGAACCTTTATCTATCAGTCAGTTTTACTCACAAGCGACTGGCTTTATTCAGTTAGATAGTTACCTAAGTTCTGGTGAGAAGTTATGAACAGTGCAGTACAACAGGGTGGGTGTGAGGGTAGATAGGCGGTGATTACATTAGCCAGTAGTCACTCTATATCGTGAAATCACAGAGGTTGGAATTCATGCACTGGAAATTGGATCGATTCCCAGTGGCTTAATGGTTTGCTAGCTCGCCTCGTAAGAACAAGGTCCTGGGTTTGAACTCTGATGAAGAGTTCCAAACTAAGACGAAACAGCTGTCTAGTACTCCAAAGTTCTCCAATGTTTCTCTAACTAATGTCACCTCATGATGAAATCCTGCATTATCTTTCTACCAAACTGTGATTTAAACGTATTTGTCAACTGTACCTTTTCATCTGTTTGTTTTCTTGTTTTGGAAGACTCTTCAGATGATTTTATCCCCTTCTGACATACCTAAAACAATAAATAGCAATATATAAAACAGTTGTAATTTGAAAATGCTTTATTATAATGCATAGGGTTGCATATAACACACTAAGTCAAAACTCATTACAGATAAAACGCTGAGGAGATAGATGTAAGTCAAAGGAAATAGCTATAAATGGTTGCATCTACGAATGAAAAAAATGTAATATTTCCACATGACTTCAGTATCCTATCCATAATTTAACAGTAAACTTCAGGTAAAGAAAAAGACGGAACGAAACAACAAAAAACAGTTAACTCAGAACTATATACTCCATAAAGATGCTTCAGGGGATGAATTTCTTAAGAATAGACTTTTCACAAACATAAAACATTGTAACTTGATTATAAACCTCAAAAGAATTTTGATCAGCTACTCAGTCTACTTAAATGTTTTTGAAGTAGCATATTTATTCACAATGAAATTAAAATTGTTTGGAAATAAATCTATGCAATTATACAATAGAACGGTCACGAGCTAGCTCAGAATCTTACGTGTGTCTTCTGTTCAATTAAAATTATAAGCCAAATCACCCTGGAAATGCTAAAAGGATGCTTTAGATGAACGAATTTGCTCGTAACATACTAGATAATAATAATATGTTGAAGAATTAGTATGTTTCAGGTTAGGACACGGATTGATACCATTTAGAAAACCATTGAAAACCAGGGAGTGCTACCAGACAGCTATTCCCTCCTAGTTCAGGACTCATCAGCATTACACATCCACTGGGTTTTAAACCTTCCGGTTGCAAGGCCAGTTCGTAAACCATTCAGCTACTGGGACTCGATTCAATGACCCTTGATTTTAGCGTGACCACCAACCGGTGGCTAAATAAATAAATCTTCCCTTATAACCAGAAGGTCCTGGTTTCGTACCTTGATGGTGATGATGATGATGATTTCCAAACTAGGAAGAAACCACTGTCCAGTACATCCTGGTTTTCAATGTCACTTGAACTGATATCAATCCGTGGTCTAAGCTGAAATAATAGGAATAGCTTTATTATGCACAATGAGTTTACACAATACGCTGAGCGTAGTTTATGGCATAATGTTTACTCATCATTCAAGAGTTTCAAGTAAAACAACCATCTCCAGTACATCATGTGACACAGCGATGTTAGATCTGAAGAATAAAAAAATCTTCAACGGTCCCACAAAAATACTCAACGATAGGCTCTACAGACCAATTAAAAATGTGAGCGAATAAGTTTGGACACCAACGGATATGACTGAATGACTATAATATCAAGAACTAAATAAAATAAAATGCCATACCTTGGATCGAAATGCAGATAGCCCAGAGATTCACGTTTACTGAAAAATTATGGATAAGATGCTCAAGTCATGTGGACATACTAAATTCTTCTGACTTTTATTACCGTGAATTTCCTATTTGGGACCAAAGTGCAATATTGCGCAGCGTCATCAAACAGAACACTGCATGACAGTGTTAGAAAAGAACCCTCACTGCATCGACACCTTGAGGTAGTTTGGAACCCGCTTCAAAAATCTGTAAACCTCATTCAACAGTTTTTAATTGGTGGATGGTGACTAGCAGTGGAATCCAGGATGCGCATTTCCTCCTATCTGGGACTCGTCATCTGGATTTACCTACATTTCTCAGTGAGTGATGATGTTCCCACCGAGGCTCAAACCCAGTGCCTATGGTTTCAAACGCCAAAGCGTTCCAGCCTCGGAGGGAAAATCATCACTCACTGAGAAATGCAGGTACATCCAGCTAGTAGACGAGTCCCAAATAGGACGAAATGCGCATCCTGGCTGGATTCCACTGCTAGTCACCATCCACCAATTAAATACCAATTAAATGCCCAGACATCGTCGAAGCATCTGCTCAAGAAGCCGACATGTCAACCTGAGACCGAGAACTTCGGTCCAATCAATCGACGGGAAAATCCAAAATTCAATTAAATCATTCAATAGTTGTATGTTGTTACCATAATGCTGAGTTATTCACATCAGGAAACTTAAGGAAAACTTCAAAGTGAAGGCAGAAGTAAGACAAGACCGCCTGCTATCACCAATGGTCTCCCTCATTGTAATAATCTAGATCACGTGACAGACCATAGAGAGTGAAAAGGTGGGCATACATTGAGCTAACAAAAGGACTCTAGAAGACCTGGGATTCACGGGTGATTTATGTTCCGTATCTCATAACCTCTGGGATTTATAAAAGAAAAACAACAAGTTAACGGAAGACACGACAGAGATTGGACTTCAGGTGAACAAAAGAATACAGAGATTATAAGAAAGCCCAACGAACAACAAAAAGCACTTATTCCAGAAGAAGGGATTATTAACAAGTAACTGTCGGTCGGTCGGTCGGTTTTCGACATAGAACTTTGCACATATGTGCGGCAGTTCAAGTCGCCACAATCTATGTAGCACGCAAAACAAATGAAGAAAGTAGAAGAAATGCATAATATAGACAGTAAACAGAGGTGTGAGACGAAGGAATAGTAATAACGGAGAACAAAACAGTTTAATTGGAAATCATAAGTCACAAGGAGTGGATGCATCTGCACCAGACATTGAGAACGATTTTGAGCCATGTCACCAATTGTTTCCAACCATTGGTTTTTACCATCCCGAGGGCCCCAACCAGGAAGTCTACATCTTCCTACGTGGCTTAGATTAACAGTTGTGGATTTCATTGATTGGTGCCATGTTTTCGTTTGACCGCCACTAGCTCTTTTCCAGCCTGGCCCTATATCAGCTAACATTGCCCGTCGAGGAAGGCGATGACTAGGCATACGTAGCACATGTCCTAACCATCTCAGTCGATGTAATTTCACCGTTTCGTCGATTGATTTCCCCGCCTTACCTAGCACTCGACGCCTAACCTCAATATTGCTCACCTTATTATACCACTTCACAAGGGAGATAGAACGCAGACACCTATGATCGAACACAGATAATCTTTTCATGTCTTCCTCTCTCAATGGCCAGGTCTCACAGCCATAAAGGAGGACGGAGCGGACTGTTGAGCTGTACACACGCCCTTTAGTCGATAGTCGGATATCGCGTCTACGCCAGAGACGGCGAAAACTGGCGAATGCGAACCTAGCCCTCTGTATTCGTGCAGAAATTTCGTCTGAGATCAGCCCGTTGGGGCTGATGGTACTTCCCAAGTAATTGAAGCGGTCAACGTGTTCTACCACTTCACTTCCTATTTCTAATCTAGGGGTCGATGAAGTCCAATCCTGCAGCATCATCTTACATTTTACAGGGGCGAATCGCATGCCAAACATACGGAGATTGTTGCTCAGGTTGTTCAGTAGACTCTGCACTTTGTCAGAATCTTCGCCTAGAAGGACTATATCGTCTGCATATTCTAAGTCAACGAGATTATTCCCTGGTAGCAAGTCAATCCCTGAGTCGCTGAAGTGTGATAAGGTTAAGTCCATTAGTACGTCTATGATGAAATTGAATAGGAATGGGGATAATGGGCATCCTTGACGGACGCCACTAGTCGTCACCACTTCAGATGACAACTCACCATAAGCCCTCACCTGGCTGAATGAGTACGAGTAGAGTGCCTTAATCAGTGCAATGTATTTTCTTGGCATTCCCTTTACAGCCAAGCATCGCCAGAGAACCTCCCGGTCAACAGAATCGAATGCCGCCTTTAGGTCAAGAAATGTAATGATTGTCGGACGCCGGTAGGAATGCCTATGTTCAAGAATCTGTCGAAGGGTGAAGATATGATCAATACACCCTCTACCTGGCCTAAAACCTGCCTGGTTTTCCCGTGTTTGTGTCTCCCGAGCGCCACTTAGTCTACGCAGTATTATTGAGCCTAGGATTTTAGATACTATATTAGTCAAGCTAATCCCTCTGTGATTATCACAAGACGACTTGTCCCCCTTCTTGTATATCGGGATGATCAGTGACTTACACCAACCCGATGGGACTTCCTCTGATTCCCAGACGCTGCCTAGGACCACCGTTAACGCAGACAGTAAACTGTCTCCTCCGTACTTAAATACCTCTGGAGTCAATAAATCAGGTCCCGCTGCTTTGCCTAGCTTCAGATTGGTGACAGCTTTAGTAACCTCAGTTAAGGACGGAGGACCTGTGTCTATCTCCCATTCAGGGAGGTGTTGGATGTCCGGCAGGTTAAGTGTGGCTGTGGGCCAATTAAACTGCTCCTCATAGTGTTCTTTCCAGCGCTCCAAACGTCTTTCCTGGGAGCTAATTATGGTGCCATTTTTCTCGGAGATTGTTTCGCTTATCATTTGCCTTTTACCACCTGTTTCCCTGATAAGCCTGAATAGTTGTCTGGTGTTGCCTATCGCCGATGCTTTTTCCATCTCTTTCGCCTTTGTCAACCACCACTGTTCACGGTCCTTGCGGAGACTTTTCGTAAGTTTCTTTTTGTGCAGCTTTCGCTCCTCATTGAATTCGGAGCTCGCCGGAATAAGTCTTCTAGCATCTATCAGTTCGGATGAGGCAGTCGAAATCCAATGGTTTTTACACACCTTTGGATTTACCTTATTCACAGCTTTTACAGCTGTATCTATGGCTGACTGAATATTCTTCCAGGCTTCTTCAGGGTGAGCGCAGCTGTCGAACTCAGATATGTGTTTAGCTAGTTCTTCCTCAAATAGGGACTTAGTTCCCTGGTCGAGCTGGGGACGTAATGGGTTTACCGCCAGCTGTTTCCTACGTCCGTTCAGTCGTAAGCACACACGAGCGCGGACCAGTGCGTGGTCGGTATCTACACACGTGTTCCAGAAGGAGCGACAATCTCCTACTGACCCACGCCAACGATAGCTAATTGCTATGTGGTCTATTTGTGTCCAGCGTTGATTTGATGATGGGGGTCGCCAGGTCAAACAGTGTCTCTCCTTGTGTTTGAAGTTAGTGCTTACAAGAAACAAGTGATTATCTGAACACAACTGTAGGAGACGGTCACCGTTGTCGGTTCGCTGGCACGGAATTCCGTATGTGCCACCGACATT